CCCGACGCGCGGAATTACCGGACTCGCTTGTACCGTAACAAATATTGGTGTTGCGATACCTTTTACCATGCGTATAATGATACCGACTTGCGGTTAGTTTAGTTTGCATATTGAAAAACACACAGTCAGTCCTGCAATTTACCAACAAAATCTATATTACAGTGGAGAAATTAGTTTTCGCTTAATCATATACTCTGACATCTAGCGGCATGTTTCATTAATTTTCTAGACCAGATCCATTCAGGATGAAGTGGGCATCTTTTGCCACGTGTAGATATTTTATCACGAAAAGAAAGACTGCACGGATCAGAAACGTCTTCACACATCGCTCGCTATTCAGTTAAAGTGTACAGTTTTCCATATATACGTAGAGAAACAAATAAAGGGACACAGGAAAATTCAATCGTTCCTTTATTATTTTCCAGTTTTCATCACCACAACGCTATTCAAAGCTGGTGATGAAAACTAGAAAATATTAAAGGAACTTTTGAATTTTCCTGTGCTGCTTTATTTATTTCTCTGCGTATATCATGGACAACAGCGTTACTTCTGATAGCGGTGAAGATGTCAGTTTTCTAACTCATCAATACTGCCTTGAGGAAAGCATATAATACTACAGAATGAGCTGATAATGGACTTCCTGGATCATGTCCAGGAGAAATGGTCCTCTGTCGTGGCATAGTCTTATTGTGCCTATAACGAAGAATAGCCAACCATTGACCTTTTACTTTGACAAGCTGCCTTTGTAAACTATGGAGAACATCGTCGGGAATTGGTACGGTTGATGTTCGGAAGCCAGTAGCATAATTACTAACACTCAGTGTGGTTTCCGCCATTATAATTTTGTTCGTTAGCCCCCTTCATGCTGTAAAGGAGCATATCTGTTTAGTTGTTGATTTTATTTTGCTTTCAGAGGCTGTTTGGTTAAGCTTATTTCCCATTTCTCCCCATCCAAGGGCTATTAAGTGACTTCGCGTTCCAAACGAAGCATTATTACCATTCAATATCTGAAAATGTTCCTATTTTACTTCTGACTGAGATCTGACCACTCCACATCGAGACATTTCGATAGTAACTGCTTGTAAGTCTATCAGACAGCCTCCCTGGTCCAGTGGATGAGAGAATTTCCGTATATAGTAAGGTCTATGGTTCAGTTCCCGATCACAAACATTTGGACATTAAATGATAGCATTGCCGTAAGGGCATAAAGCACGGACTGGCCAGTTTAGAGAGCATATACTGTTGGTATCAAGGGTAATCTGCGACAATGGGTGTCGTTTTAAACGAGCATATTGGTTCGAAATTACAAACAACAATGAGTGTACTCCCTTTATACGTACCGTGGAGCTAAACCCAATTTCACTTCTTTATTAATGCTATAAATTTTGAAAGTTTGCTGTTATGTCAGCCGTTAGTGCTGTTAGCGGGCGGTGGTAGAGGGCGTTGAATTAGCCTTATGGTTAAAGCGTCCGCTCGTCAGGGCTGAACACTTGGGTTCGATTCCCCACATGGGTACAATGTGTGGAGCCCATTTCTGGTGTCTCACGTGATATTGCTTGAATATTGCTTAAACTGGCCAGTTTAGAGAGCGTCGTGAGTTGGATATCGGTCAACTCGACCAAAGAACACAGCGTCAATAGCATTGTGAAATCGGCTCGTGATTGCCTATCACTTGATAATTAATTGTCCTTGTTTTTGAACTGATAGTGCTGAGCAAAGTGACAGGTACGTGGCCTGTTGACGTGACCTGTGACATTCGGGAGCACCTGTGCTATCACCTTTTTCATAAACAAATGCTCGTGACATAATCGGAATCACTAATGGAACCCGTTGAAATGAACTATACAAATACAAATATTTTGAAATACAGAGACATACATCATGCATGTTATATGCCTTTGTGTGCCAGGGGCTAAGGTCCTGGATTAGTCAATATTTTCCAGTCTTCCATCTGGACCGGAGCAGGAAAGACACTTGTGATTCTGGGATTCATATTTCCCAGGAATGGAAGGGCCATTTGTCTGGGTCCATGACGCGATCTATTTCAGAAATTGAGGGTTCTTGATAACTATTGCTCACAAATGGACGGTCTATTTGTCTAGGTCCATGACCCGGCCTGTTTCAGAAATAAAGGGTTCTTGGTGCAATATTGCCCAAGAATGGAAGGTCAATTTGTCTAGGTCCATGACCCGGCCTGTTTCAGAAATAGAGGGTTCTTGATGCATATTGCTCAAGAATGGAAGGTCAATTTGTCTAGGTCCATGGCCTTACCTGTTTCAGAAATAGAGGGTTCTTGATGCAATTAGAATGGGGTACTTGGTTCTTATTTCAGAAATATATTGCCGACGGGAATGGAAGGTCATTTCAGCAAGGTCAATCAAACGTATATAACTCATGTAAGTGATATTTCAGTGCAATACACTACTTCATACAATATGTGATTTAGATTGATCAAATTATCACCAGAGAAATTAGACATGCTGTCATTTGTTTCAAATGTTTTTAACTAATGTAACACTACCGAAGATGGAGTCAGTGTCACCATCTGTAGTGTATCATATGTAGTATGTTCTTCTGTGCAGCTGCACTTCATACAAATGCATTCTGTGCAATTGGGTTTGTTTTTGATCCATGGCCTAACCGTCCTGGTAAACTGAAACACTGCTGCATGTAATGTTCATGAAAACGTGCTACTTTGAAATCTGCACAAAGTGGCGAAAATATAACATAAGTGTTCTAATATGTTGGGACCAAGAGTTTAAAAAAGATTAAATAGGCAATCTCAGCTAAATGCTCATTGCTCAGTTGGGTTTGTTTGTTGTTTCACGCCGCACTCAGTAAGAGTCCAACATGGCGTCGTTATGTACATCCTGACAATCCAGTGATCAACAGCATGAGCATATTTCTACGCAGTTGGGATACGGTGACAAGCGCCTTGAGCATGTACTAGTTGCTATCTACTATGCGCGCTATATAAATATCCTATCCTATCCTATCATATTGTGTCAACCACGCTTAGTTGTGACTCACTATCATAGCAGAGATTATATCGAGTGTTTGAGAAAGCATGTGCAATACTGTCAAACTTTCATGTGACGGAGGTAACTCTCGCCCATATATAAATATTGATATGTTAAACATGATACATCATGGAAATTAGCTGTTAGGCTGTGTCGCTTGTCTCAAATTAGGACAACAATGCAAGGACTTTATTATATGTCGGTGTATCTCGCACTCAACAACCTCGATGATCCTGACAAGCCACACGCCTACGTAAAGACGCAGTTACTGACTGCTACAGTGTTGATACATGAGATATAAATTGATCACAATGATGTTATCTTCCAACACGTTGACTCTTTTATAAATTCTTGCTTTGCGTTCTTAGTTAAAGGGGCGGTTGGGTAGCCTTGTGGTTAAAGTGTCCGCTCGTCACGCCGAGGACCCGGTTCGATTCCTCACATGGGTACAGTCCGTGAAGCTAATTTCTGGTGTCCCCCGTCGTGATATTGCTGGGATGTTTAAAGCGGCGTAAAACTTAACTCACTCACTCTTAATTGAGAGGCTATTTGATTTTTGATAACTTCAATTGATACTAATAGCATTATTAGTCAATTTGTATTACGCTTTATGATGCTCATGAATGTTGATCACTGGATTGTCAGGTCCAGACTCGATTATTTATAGACCGCCGTCATATATAGTATGACCAGAAATTATTGAGAAGTTCAGAAATATGTTTAATTGGATTTATAGTATAAACAACCTTGACCAGCTATCAAGTGCTTGGTTTCATTTAAGATAGACAACTCCGTTAATCATTTTTCATTAGTTTGTGAAGAGTTATCCCCCTTTGTTTACTTGCTAGCAGACGACACTTTCAGTGATCCTCAGTTTGGATGATTTAGAGAAGAGGAAGTTGATTTTAGAGTATTATAACAAGGACATCAGATCAGCTAAAGTGATTTCAAGTAGAACAGGCATCCGTTTGTCCACTGTTTATCGTGTTTTGAAAACTATTGCAAATGGATATGGCATTGAGCACCAGGGAGGCGCAGGTAGGCCCAGAAAATTGACTGTCGGTGACAGGACGCGGCTTGGTGTTCTTGTTTCTAAAAACAAACGAAGGAGTTTAGAAAACTTAAGGCTGGATATGATTGATAGAGGAACTGTGGATGTCTGGAAGGAGACAATTAGAACTGAGCTGCATGCAATGGGTTGGCAGAAAAGTCGAGGAATTCCATCATCGATCATGAAACCTGAACAAAAGGAGCGAAGGTTGAACTGGTGCTTATAGCATAGAAATTTTAACTGGGACAATGTGATTTTCTCAGATGAAAGTTCTGTGTGGCTGTTTCCTAATGCACTGAAATTCTGGACCAAACAAACTGAAAAACCTTTGTATCAGCGCCCAAAGTACAGTCCGAAATTTAACGTTTTGGGTGGCATATCTGTGTTAGGAGCATGGCCCCTCTGTGTATTTGAAGGGAATATGAACAGTGAGCGGTACACAGATATTCTCGAGGGACATTTACTTCCCTCTGCTCAGACTTTCTATTGTTGAGTGCGGCGTTAAAACAGCCCAACTTGACAAAGCTAAAAACAAACATGCTCCATATCATGCTCAAAGCGCAGCCAAATTAAAAAGTAGTCGAAAGCTTGATGGAATAGATGAGTGTCTTAAACAGAGCAGTTCTAAAGATGGAATCATGGTCAAAGCGCAGCCAGAAAAAAGTATGGATATCAGAAAGTTAACAGTTCTATGGAATTGGTTTATTTTTCTTCTATCTTCTAAATATTATTTTCTCCTATCCAGAACTTATTATTTGCTAACAATCCGAAATAGCGGACAAACGTTTTTATGAAATGTACTCGTAAAGGGATTCTGCGTTTTGCTGACATATTTCTCTCGATCGCTAGTTAAACACTACACAACACGACACAGCCGCCCGCTTATCAGCAGTTGACCTGACCTACAGCGCTGGGTGGACAGTCCCTGTAAATCACCCTGATACAGAATTCCTTGTCCCACTGTGACTGGCCTTAGCGTCGTGTAGCATTCATTCACAATGGACATACATGTATTTTCAAGATGGTGTTTCATGTTGGCAGCTATTAGTATCGGATCTGTACTTACGGTAAGTGTTTAGACCTATCTAGCCAAGCGGGGTGCTCTAGTTACATTTACACCAAATGCTTCTACACTACACATACTACGTGCTATATCCTGTGCACCGGTCTACCAGAGTGATAGATCGCCCAGTCGTCTAAGTCCACGCTCTAACGACATTCTCTTAGATTTATGTATGCAAGAAACGTAATTATGATTTTGATTTCGTTTCGCTGATTTGGTTTCTAGGTGTACTAATTCCATACAAGTGGGAATCAGTCAAGTGATAAACACGTGAGTGAGTGAGTGAGGCTACCGCTTTAACGCCGCAATATTCCTACTGGGGGACACGAAAAATGGGCTTTACCCATTGCCAATGTACCCATGTGGGGATCGAACCCTGGTGTTGGGCATGTCGAGCGAATGCTTTAACCACTAGGCTACCTCTCTGCCCGAAACTAAGGCGAAAGTGGGTAAAACTAAAATATTGAAACAAAATCGAGTTCACTTCTCCTCATGGTACATGGTGAAATGGTAACACTCACTCACTCACTGAAATTGATGATTAGGGTCTAAAAGAACAGACAAACCATACTGGATATGATGCAAACTAATGTCCCTTATAGGCACTGTTACTCCTTTCTACCAATTATGTGTCATCCTAATGTTTCACTGTTTACTTGGGTCTCGGTGGGGTGGCTAAGTGGTTAAAGCGTTCGATCCGGGTTCGATTCCTCAAATGTGTACAATTTGTGAAGCCCATTCCTGGTGTACCCCGCCGTGATAATGTTGGAATATTGTTAAAAATTAACGCACTCACTCTATTGACCTACCGCCTCATCGGTATCGAGGAAGTGGATCCTGTGATCGTGTCATACCAAAAGACACAGAAAGATGTACTTATTGTTACCTGGCCTGATGTCTTATATAAAGTGTATGATGGCTGTACAGTGGGTAAACACTAGTGAGTGAGTGAGTGAGTTTAGTTTTACGCCGCTTTTAGCAATATTTCACCAAAGTCACGACGGGGAACACCAGAAATGGGTTTTTATTGTACCAATGTGGGGAAACGAACCCGGGTCTTCGGCGTGACGAGCGAACGCTTTAACCATTAGGCTATCCCACCGTCCCGGATAAGCACTGGAAAGTGTGCTCACGTCTTACATTTCGTCACATAAATGTACTTTTCTTGAATGAGACGTTTACCCCATGCCACCTTAAATAATTATTATCATCATTAATGTATATTTCAGACATCAACAACAAAGCCGTCTACTACAGAGGAAACTACTACCACGACACCTTTTGTGGGTATGTCTTGTCCTATAGATTACAATACAGGCGATATACATGGCCATCCATGGATTGGTACATTTCTCTGACACATGCCCTGAAAACAACGTGTCCATATTGTATGTCTTGTCCTATAGATTACAATACAGGCGATATACATGGCCATCCATGGATTGGTACATTTCTCTGACACATGCCCTGAAAACAACGTGTCCATATTGTATGTCTTGTCCTATAGATTACAATACAGGCGATATACATGGCCATCCATGGATTGGTACATTTCTCTGACACATGCCCTGAAAACAACGTGTCCATATTGTATGTCTTGTCCTATAGATTACAATACAGGCGATATACATGGCCATCCATGGATTGGTACATTTCTCTGACACATGCCCTGAAAACAACGTGTCCATATTGTATGTCTTGTCCTATAGATTACAATACAGGCGATATACATGGCCATCCATGGATTGGTACATTTCTCTGACACATGCCCTGAAAACAACGTGTCCATATTGTATGTCTTGTCCTATAGATTACAATACAGGCGATATACATGGCCATCCATGGATTGGTACATTTCTCTGACACATGCCCTGAAAACAACGTGTCCATATTCTTGAGAAAACATCTGCAGAAAGCGGACTCCAGTTGTACGAGTCTCATCCTTGAATAAGCTACCCGTGAGGATCCGGGTTAGATTTGATCTTCAGCAACCCATACTTGTCGTAAGAGGCGACTGACGGGATCGGGTGGTCAGGTTCGCTGACTTGGTTGGCACGTGTAATCGTATTCCAGTTGCGTAGATCGAAACTCATTATATTAATTACTGGATGGTCTAATTTACAAACAGTCGCTATAAAGCTGAAATATTGCTACTCAGTGCGGAGTTGACAAAAACAATCATTGCATAAGTATGCGTTTAAGAATCAATACCCAATGGTTGTATGCTTTGAAGCAATATGTCGGATGTTTTAAGAATCAATACCTAATAGTTGTATGTAAGAATCAATACCTACTAGTAGTATACTAGGTTTTAAATGATAAGTTGTTCAGAGCAAAAGGTAATTCACATTCAAAATATGTTTGATCATGGAAAAATTATTTGTTACATATTCGAACATTATTATTTACATACAAAAAAGCAATTCATGATCTGTTTGGGAGTAATAATGCTAACATATTTAAGTCCCAGGTAAAGTCAACAATTTGAAGACAACAGTGGGGACATCTTCGTCTGTTGGATTGTCGTGGTCGGCCTCAACAAGTGATGTTCACTTCACCCAGTACGTCATCTACACAAGCAGGGGAGACGAATGTGTCCAAGCGGCAATTTTCCTGTGCCTCCCCAACAATGAGTCTTATTCAGCTGTAAGTGAATTCTTAGCTTCATTATATTGTTATTATTAACACAAATCACATTACCATTTAGGAACACGTTTTTATGTATCCGTTTACCGATCTTAATAATACCCCTTTCCCCACCCCCATCCAAAATAAACCCGAAAACCCCCAAAAACAAAACAACAAAACCAAAGAAAACAACAAATAAGAACAAAACAACAACAAAGCCCCCCCAAAACCCTAAACAATACAAACAAAAAACCAACAAAAAACACAACAAAAACAAACACACACACACACACACACAAAACACACACACAACAAAACAACAACAAAATAAACACCAAATTTTTTTTTGGAAAAACTCAATTAAAACCAAAAGCAACCACAAAAACACATGCATTACCCAACAAAATAACCCAAAACTTCAAATAAACAAAAAACCAGCCAAACAAAAGCTAAATATCGCACGAAAATGAAGTACAAAAGAAAGGTAACACACTTAATGTTCAGGGATTAATTTCATCTAAAAGAATAACTTACATACAACACAAACACAATTAACACGGGATAAAACTCGTTCCCTTCTTCCCCGTGAAGGTCCGGGTTAGAATATTGATCTTCAGTAACTCATGCCTGTCGTTAGAGGCGACTAACGGGATCTTGGTGGTCATCGGCTCGCTGACTTGATCACTGGATTGTCGGGTCATCGATTACCCCAATTTGCGCAGATCACTCACTCACTCACCACTCACACATTTTTGGTCGGTGTCTCATTTGTGATATTGTGTTTCTTTTCCAGTCCAACTGTAATTACATTCTTGCTGGCACTACTTGGACATACGCCCAATGCCATGGTAATATGACGTACAGCGTTACTCAGCTGGATTCGAACACAGACTACACAGTTTCTGTCGCTGCCACAGACAGGTTTATAATAGGGGAAAACTCTACAATAACAGCCAAGACTCACATTGGAAGTAAGTATAGTAATAAAGTGTCTATAGTGGTTGTTCTATACACGTCTTTACAATGAATATTGTTGTATAAAACTGTAACCTTTTTGACATGACTTTTACTGAGCTAACAACACGTAGAATGAGTGAGTGAGTTTAGTTTTACGCCGCACTCAGTAATATCCCAGCTATACGACGGCGGTCTGTAAATAATCGAGTTTGTACCAGACATTCCAGTGATCAACAACATGAACATCGATCTACGCAATTGGGAACCGATGACATGTGTCAACGAAGTCAGCGAGCCTGACCACCGATCCCGTTAGTCGCCTCTTACGACACGCATGGGTTACTGAAGGCTCATTCTAACCCGGACAGTTGGTTGATCCGGTGATCAGACAGGCTGACTCTGTTGACTGTGTCGTTGTACCAAAGTGGTGCAAAACTGATGCAATCACATGATGTCAATCACAGTATAGATTGTCTTGATTAAGACTCGATGTTTTACAGGTACAGATGTGGATGTTAATACTGTTGAGTGATATTGGGATATTAAGACATTTAGTAATAACCTCATAGCTGTTAGACTGTGTTGTGTTGAGTTTTTAATACAAACTGCAGCGTTGAGTATATTATGACGTTATTGCCCATTATGGTGTAATGATGATTTTATGGAAAAGCATGTACAATGTGGATGACCCCCTAAATTGTATGTACAAAATAAGTGCCCCTGCATGCCATGTACAAAATCAATTACCCCCTTCCCTTCCCATAATTTCAAAGCATAATTTTAAACATATTTTTATGTACAGAATTGCTGACCCCCCTAGTATGTGTGTACAAAATTGATGACCCCACCTAGCTCCCCAGAACAAAATGGTGACGCCCCTTAAAATCAGCATCAGCCCCCTAGCTATAAATTATGAACGGTCCCTTACATAAACCCTGTTTCCTAATGGCCCTATAATAATTCTCTAAGAATTGCCCCAACAAGCTAAATATTACTAAACACGGCGTGAATTCCCTCACTGCTACAATCATATCTATGACCTACATATATGCTCATTGATCTCGGTGACGCACGACAATGACCTACGAACGAAGGTCTTGTTTAAGTATATATTACACTAGTTCGTGTTTCTCTGGCTGGCTTCTTACAAAATTGAATTACAGGACTCCTTAAATCGTAAGCAATTAGTAATTTCTGGTATTCATATTATCCATGTTTTTCCGTCCTATCAAAGTAACATTGCGTATTACGATTCAGTTCCAGCGTCACCAGCCAACATCCGGGGAACTGCTCTGAACCATTCCGCCATTTTGATTGAATGGGACGTTCCCTCCCACAATGCTGGACCAATGTGGTACGATGTTACGGTTCTTAAGGAAATCGACAGGGCGTCTGGTGGTTATATTGCGGATCGCGAATACAAAGTTGAAGGTTAGAGCTGGCATTATCCATTCACCAGTTCATGTTCTTTTGAGCACATGTGATTTAAACAGTCTACGCGATTATGAAACGTTCGATGCAACAAATGAATATACAGTTAAACACCGTTGTTTCGAAGTTGAAGGAAACAAATACTTCGAGTTATCGCAGGTTCGAAATATGAACATTTAGGGCTTGGCTTGAAGAATAAATAAAACAAAGCTGTGACTAACAAGAATATGTCTTATAAACATATCGACTTATCGCAGATAATGTGTGCAGGAATATCACTTACAGTATACAAAAAGCAAAATATTATTCTATTATTTGTGTATATTTAGGATCCTATTTCATCACCATTATCGACGTTGTTGTTTGGTTTGTTGTCTAACGCCGCACTCAGCAATGTTCCAGCAATATGGCGGCGGTCTGTAAATAATCGAGTCTGGTCCAGACAATCTAGTGGGCAACAGCATGATCATCACCATTATCGAGGTCCTACAGCAGCACCCCTTCGAGCTTATACCCCACCTCCACCACATCAATTTCGTTACAAAACTGATACACAAACAAACGATCAGAGGATCAGAAGCCGGTCTCATGTTCCAGACATTGAAATTAATACCATTGTATCCACAATTAGGGTGATCAAGAATTGTTAAATCTAAATGATAAAACTTCAATCAGAAAACAACGGATGGTTACCCATCTCACTGAAATAATTGTACTTGGATCCTGTGTTTCATGTGAGAAGAGTACTGGCGCAGTTAGAAATGAAAGTTTTGCTTGTCTTTGCGTGTGTTGTGAGTACATACTTATGTCATGAAACAAGGTAAAACTCTGTGACCCATTATTATATCGTTTTCCCTCCTGTCGTTTTGTGATGCAGGCCAGAATAGCAGTTCCTTCGTAACAACGGATTTGTTGAGCTCCTGGAGCTACATGTTCGCCATAACAGCCAGCACCAAGGCTGGAACCTCAAACATGGCAACATCCAAACCTGTCAAAACACTGCCCTCTGGTAAGTAAGACAATCTAAAGATTGAAAATTACCTTATAATAACATGACGCCAGAATCAAATAGGTGAAGGGCCCGACTTGCCCTTTTTTGCTACATGCAAATTTTGGACATGCAGAAAAGACAAGTTAGGTATTACTTTATATATCGTTGATTTAAGATGAATTTGATTTCAGGGGCGTCGTCATTTAATTCATTTTCACGCAACTCATGCAGACTATTCAAATTGGGAATATTCAAATCACACGTCTTTTGTGAATGTACACAACTTGACTTGCGAATGACATCTATATATGTATAATATTTTGAATAATTCTAATTTAGCTGAACTAACTTGTTCTTACTTCTCTACTGCAGCTCCAGGTGAAGTGCAAAATATCAGTGTAAAGTTTGACCACAATCAATACCTGACCGTCAGACTCACCTGGGAATGCCCCCCTGAGAAGATGAGGAATGGGCACATCACGAGCTACACAATCTCCTACACAGGCAATGTAGGAGATTTTAGTATGGAACACTTAGTTTCCTATTCCACTAAGTCAATGTCCTTTGCATTTGTTAAATTTTCAGCCAGGTATCACCACCAAATATACGCACGTTTTGCATACTCTCTGAACGTGGACCTGTTTCTTTATGCATACTATAAATTATAATTTCTGATTGGGTTGGTCAAATCAATGGAAGATCATTTGAGCGCCAGGAATGACGATGATATGACAATAGCAAATAACTGATTCTCTTCCTCTGATTCAAGCTGTTTAGATACATACATAAAGCTTCAGAGTGACAGAAAAAGGATGAGTTCTCATTTCCTGTAGGTAAGGTTTCCTCTATATCGAGCAATATTCCAACATATTTACATTTCACAACTTTTGAGGAACAATCGAGCATGCTCTTTTCACCAAGATTTCAGTGAGCGTCAACTCTGAGAGTCGTTGTCAGCTACGACATGCAAGGCCGCAGTAAGGAAACTTTGAAACTTTCAAAGCTTTAACATATAGTTTTTTTTACCAGCCATTTTTTTTATTGTTTATTTAACAGAAAATATAAAGTAGATCCAAAGTGGATCCATATTGTATATTTGGTAATTATCAGGATACGAGGCCATGCATTGGACTGACCATCCGATGCATTTGGTCTCTAATGAAAGTCATGACAAGGAAATGTTTGTGAGCTGGGAATATTACTGCAATATACCTTTCCCACCAAAATGAGCTGTTACTTGTTTATATTGACGTATGTATTTACAATGCAGATATCCCTGACGTTGACTGCAGGAAGCTTCTACCCAGAGGATCCTTGCAGCGCCCCCCACACGGTGTATCTCCCTGTCATCCCAGACGGGAAGTACATTGTTCAGGTTCGTATGATGCAAAGCACCTTTGGTTGTTTTGTATTAATAGTGTAATGAAGAAGCACACCTCTTGCTGCATCAAGACTATGGGTCGTATCTTATCATAACGTAATGTTTCATTATATATAGAGATTTTACACGATATTCTACCATGAGCCTTATAGTGGCAGATAGTAGGATATTTGAAACGAAAATACCAACATATATAGCAATAGTTAAAGGTGAAAGTGTTATTGAAGAGTCGAATCTTTCAAGGGAGAATTAAACAAAGTAATAGGAAGATTTGCAAGGCATCCAAATCGAGATCAAGAAACAGAAGGTTTTTTATAAATAAACCTCCAGATCATAATGTTATTCAAAAAAGTGTAAAAGTTAATGAAAGAAATTACGAAATCTTAAAATGATTTTTGATACGTCATGGTTAACCGTAATATAGTTCCATCTAAAAAGTAAGTACAGTTGACTAAAAGCAGTGAAACAATTCGAAGAAGTAAACAGGACTGGTAACAATTGTACTTGTGTTTGCGGTTTTTAAATGTTCGGGTAGATGTAATGTCGAAGATATAGTAAAGTAATATCAGATGCCAGATATGTCAATAGTATGAATACCTCACATGACACATAATATACAGTATAAATCCATATGAACCAAATGACATAAGCCAGTGGGCAAAGAAAAGCGACAGCAGCACAATAGAGTAATAAAGATAAGTAAAAATGTGACCTTTCAAGAAGATAAACAAAATATTTGGATGATAGCAAGTTATGTAAAACTTCAGACTTACACGTAGAACCTTTCAGGGCGATTAAACGAGGTATTAGGATGATTGCAAGGTATCTAAAGTGTCTGACTTAAACGTAGAACCTTTCAGGGCGATTTGAAACAAGGTATCAGGATGATTGCAAGATATCTAAAACCAACTTGCGTAAAATGATATTTTGCTTTCTATCTCTTATAAACGAGCGTGAGAAATTATAGAACATAGTTTGTAATCGCACTTTAACTGTTAATACAATAAATGGGTAAATACGGAAAATGAGTCTTGCCATATGTATGCTGTTCCGCATGGCTGTATTTCCTGTTTTTTACAGATCTGGGCCAACGCTGAATTTCTAGGAAACAAATCAGCAATGATTTTTGTAGCAGACCGCGATAGTGAGTATACCGCATTACCCTGTGATGACACCTTATAGAATTTCAATCCATGTTTGTTTCATTTAATTAGAAATATGTCGAGAATGGAATGCTCATATCTCAGTTCATACGTAACAACATAACAAGTGACGTTTTCTTTATTTTATAGATGTTGATACTGTTGAAATATCTTAATACAAAGTGATGACTTCAACCTTTTGTTCCAGAAATGTACTACAAGGATTACAACACAACTGTTTCAACAGCAGGTAAACTGTAGAGGCGCATTGATGCGGTTATATTATATTTCGATAGTCAATATCGTTTATTCATTTTTTAGGCCATCGGTCCATGTACATCGTTGAACATTAATATATGATGATTTAGTAAAAGTGACAATGATTATACATTGCGGAGAGACAAACAATGTTTAAAATATTTTACTACATTTAGAATAATTTCATGATCTTTACTGCATACTAGTAACTTACAAGAATAAGTAGTAGGGTTAACAGAAAATTTAGATGGTATATATTTTCTCCTTCTCAAATTATACATTGGGCACTCAAACAAAAAGTGTATAACATCTTCTTGCATAACGACTACGACCAGTAATTGTTTGAATAGGTTACTCGTCTAATCTAAGCAAACATAAATATCTCCTCAACTCCCAGTTTCTAATATGCATGATATAATATTCTGTATCGAAACACGATTTGAACTGGAGATAATATTTTAACCTATCAGATTTACTTATGTTGATAATTACCTGTATATTACATTCACATATGCATTGCTTAAATAGCATTTAAAAACATATCCACATTACCAATATCCTGAAACAGCCACACATCACCAAATCCGAAACTGAAAAGTAATTGCCTTACACCACTTGCCCATGTTGTCCTGCCAGATTCATCGAGTTGTTTCATTGAAAGATAACGCTGCCTGGGATACCTACTATTATGTATCCTCCAAAGTTTGCACAAATACTTAACACATTTAACATGATAATCTACATACAATTGATGTCTACCACACTCCGCCAAAACAGCATTACTAGAATTATATTTGCTAACCCCTAGCACAAACTTACAGAAATTAGTAAAAAATGATTCTAGCACTGGATATCTCTGAAATCCCCAAACTTCGGCACCATACAATAACACAGGTTTAATTTTATTGTCAAACAATTTAAAAAGTAACTTTTATGAAAAATAGAGCCTTTATACCTTTGATAGCTAATGTATCTACACACTTTGGCCAAGACAATCTAATTGAAAAACAACAACAACGAAATAATTATAATAAGTCGTAACCGTTATCTGAGAGCCACTAAAGAACCATTTTTCATAATGCCTTAATATACCACCATTCCTGCAAACCATAACTTCTGTTTTATCTAAATTAACCTGAAGAACCCACTTATTGCAGAAACTATCAAGAATATCTATCTTCCGCTGCAAACCAATGACACTAGCATCAACAAAACACAAGTCATCCGCATATAATAATAACATTATTTCCATAAACTCTTGACCAACTGATATACCTCTTAGAGTAGAAGATTCTATCATGCTCTGAAGTTCTAACATAAACATGGAAAATGACCAATAATACACCTTTGACGAACACCCCTTAATAAATCAAAGAACTCTGACACTGAAGTATTAGAAAGTTTAACTGCACACTGAATTTAAGAATACATATTCTTTAAAAGAACTAATATACGACCAAGAAGTTTCTTGTTAATAGAGTCAAAAGCCTTTTTGAAATCTACAAAAATGCAATAAAACTTTCCTTCCATTTTAGATGGATATTTTTGAAACAAACATTGTAAAGTAAAGATATTATCAACAGTACAGTAACCACGTCTAAATCCAGCCTGTACTTCTGGGATCTTCTCATACAAATCGGCAAACTGAGCTAATCTTTCATTCAAAACCACAGTCAGACATTTTCCTAATGTGTCTATCAAAGATATAATTATTAACATCTTTCACACTTCCCTTCTTATGTAAAGGTATAATAATACTTTTAGCCCAAATAGAAAGAAACACGCCCGTACGCATGACACAATTGAACAATACTGTCAAATACAGAACTAAAATACTACAACATTTCATGATTATTTCCGGGGCCAGGTGCAGTCCCACATTTCAGCCTGTTTATAGTACTATTTAATTCACTGTCTGATATATCAGATTTCAAAATGTCATTCATAGTCAGACAGATACCAACAGATATTTCGCTATGTTCTGTTGACGTAACGTTTGTATGGATAACAACTTCATTCCATCTGGTATAAAGAATAAAATAAAGTTGTTATCCATAAAATAATGTCATGTATTCATGTTCTTACAACTTTTAAAGGCCTTTCAAGAACTCCATAACGTCACTTTCAGAAACTACATGAAATCGAACTGTTAATAACAGTCTTAATGATAAAAACCAGTGACTGATATTATGAGCATATACCATGCTGTCAGATTATGATTGTCCAGTTTACGAATCCAAGCCACCCAATTCACTGTTCGAACACCGGATATGGATCTTTATGCTGTACTGAAACATGAGACATGTTTTTCTCGAGTTTTGATCACCACTTCAGATATTGCAATACACGCTGACAGGGGTTAAATATATTATTTCAATTTCTATATTTCAGATGCCCAAAGCTTAATAGATGTGTCCGCCGCATGTGGTTCCATAATAGCAATCCTTATTGTGGCTGTGATTGCTCTTGTTCTAAGTGAGTTCTTTGTCATATCTAAAAATAAATAGGGACAGTTGTATAGCCTAGTGGTTAAAACGTTCGGCCCGGGTTCGATTCCCTAAATGCATACACTGTGTGGATCCAGTTTCTGGTGTCCACCGCCGTGATGTTGTCTGATTATTGCTAAAGCGGCGTAAAACTACACTCACTCACTCAAATTGGTACTTCATTTAAGATTCCTCCATTAAAGTAAGAAAGTAAGTAAGTACCATGTACCATGACAGATTCACTTCCTATTGCACATATTTAATCTTACCGTTATATTAATATGTAATAATTATTTACATTAAAATAACCAATGCGCAAAACATACCATGATTTAAACTTACCTTGATCATGTATTTGTACATTTATTGCTTTACTTTATATGCTTGTACTCAATTATGGGAACACAAAAACAAAACAACAAATAATAGACGTATACAAAAGTGTAGTTATTGTTTTCACACCAAACCAAATGCTCCTGTTTTTTTTACCACTTTCAGCAAGGCCAAGAAGTGTTTTACCTGAAGAAGGACTGAAGTTTGGACAAAGGACTATCTGATCATCGGCGCAAACCTGCATGGAGCAAAATTAACAAAATCATTTTAGATCAAAGAATAAAGTTATCCTGGAACGATACTGTATTTGAAATTATTGAATATCCTATGTAATTCAATTCATGTTTCTTTCCACCTTTTGAAAATATCACAATATACTATTCACACTTTGCTCACTTAGGATAAAATCATGGATTCAACAGAAAACTATGATGTGGGGTCAAATATGGTATAAATATCTAAGCTTATTGTAAGCATGGATCCTAGGTTTCAGTATGTCATTTCGTCTTGTGGATCCCATACCTTTTGTGGTTACTCATGCCACAAGTGCATAAGGTTAGATTAAAGTGACTGTTACAATTTTCAAATTATAAATCTACGTTTATGTAAAGTTGTGAATTTTTGTGATCCTCAGCAAAGTGTGAGTTGTATATTATGAACACTAATGACCCAAATATCTCACCAACAATGATGAAATGGGTGACCTCGAATTTAACAATCCTGGGCCCGTCTCTGATTTAACTGTGCTGATGAAATTCACTATCTAGGTGATGTCAGTACGCGTGTTGGTCAGTGAGAGTCATGGTTGTGGTCATCGGATATTGTCCAGGATGTGTTAAAATACATGAGTGAGTGAGTGAGTGAGTTTAGTTTTAAGCCGTACTTAGCAATATTCCAGCTATATGGCGGCAGTCTGTAAATAGTCGCGTCTGGATCAGACAATCCAGCTATCAACAACATGAGCGTCGATCGATGCAATTGGAATACGATGACATGTGTCAACCAAGTCAGCAAGCCTGACCACCTGATCCTGGTAGTCGCCTCTTACGACAAGTATGGGTTACTGAAGATCCATTCTAACCCGGATCTCCACAGGTCTACATTAGAAAAAATATCATGTGCGAAATTATAGCTTACCTGATTGCGAACATCTTGATGAAACTATTGCCAAGGCTGACAAGAATCTGCAACCGCCGAAGGGATCTCATTTAACACTCGCTGAGTTAATGTAACATCTCGCTCTTATGTTAAATTCAATTTATATGACTACACAAACTACGAAGTCATGTATTACTCCAGGAAGTATAACCCCATTTATTCAATATATATTATGTTTGGTCATTGAATATCTTTTGTTTAGGAATCAACGTTGCGATATTATTATCTTTTGTCTCTAACCGTGGTAATTTTGTAATTGATAGCTTTTCGAGTGTATCATAATATAAGGGAAGTGTGATACACTAGATTAGCTTTGCGTTATATCGCTTTTCAACCAATCCTTATTTATGTAAAACTTAACTTTTGGTTTCTGGAATGGCCTACTCTTATAAAAAAGCAACTACAAACAAACACAGACAAAAATATATATCTACCAAAATAATTTTTACATACAGGTTTTGATTAAAGAAAGAAGCTTTGGGTTTGCAGCTCATAAGCTGCATAACTGGAACAGTGCATAGACATCCAGACTAATGTCCGGGTCTTGACAATTATGCTTGATAAATATGCATGATAAAGGGATGGATTCAAGATTACGTTCTTAAAACTACCTAAACCTTTGCTCCAGAATTGATAGTTATGAACACGCAGTTACACATTACTACTGTGGGACATTGCACCTAAACACATAAATAGTAAGTAATTACACTTTCCGTAATAATAAGAAAGTTCTTCTAAAATCAGAGTTGTAGGATTTCAACCGTATATTGAGGGTGTTTTCAGTGTCAAATATTGGTGATACCGGGTGTTCGCGAGGTGAGTGTAACTGCGTCACCTGTGATACCCATGACGTAAATATGCAAAGGCAAGTCATCTCTTCAGGTACAAGGCGAAACTGGAATTTCTATAAAACAGGATTTATTTTGTAATTGATGCTTCACATCTGTAGAGGTACTCCATGCAACTACCGTAACAAGATTAAAAGCTTTACTAATGCATCAAATGTTGTGTTTGCTTGTCGTTTAACACCGCAATCAGCAGTTGTCCAGCTGTACGACAGTAGTTTGTAAATAATCGAGTCTGGACCAGACGATCTAATGAGTGACGCTGCGAGCATCCAATAACGCCACTGGGATCAACGAGGTGGAAGGATCGTTGATTAGGACCAACATTCATCAACCAAGTTAACGAGTCGTGAAGATTCGGGTTAGAATTGGTCTCCAGCAACCCATGCATGTCGTAAAAGGCTCGGGTGGTCAGGCTCGCTGACTTGGTTGACACATATCATCCTATCTCCCAATTGTGTAGATCCATGCTCATGCTGTTGATCACTGGGTTGTCTGGTTCAGACTCAATTTCAGACATATAGCTGGAATATTGCAAACAAACCAGCCATTGGTCGCTGAAGATCACTTAGCACAGAATCTTAACAGGTATTGAATATTGTCACTCTAGTTTGTCACGTTCACATGTCACATTCTTTTGTCATTCAGTGTCAATGGGTATTTCTGGAAACTCTTTGTCACTTTGAGTCCTTTTCTTTTCCCAAGTGTTATCAGTTTCTCGTAAATGCCATCAGTATCACGCATAGATAGCTGATAAACTATGTACTAAGTGAACTTTAGATGAAATGTGCTTTCATTTTCGTCAAAGTATCCTGGGCCTCTGAAGAATAACTGTGTACGGTCATCACATTTAATGAAACATGCTCCAAGAATCACAAGGTGTGGAATATATTAAAATATTTTTACACATCTGAACTTGGTTCTTCTTTTCTTTATTACTGAAAGTTACCCTAATAGAAACCTATGTCCGCTTCCGGTTTAATGGCATCACTTCCGGTGGGAGGCGAGATAGGAAATATGCAGTGCGACTTTAATACCTAAATAACAGTCTTATACACCTGTTTAATAACGACGTCCTTCAACATCGGTTAATGTGACATTTGACATCCTATAGGGATATACTATTGCATTCTTTACATTCACGATTCAAAGGCTGCATAAGGAAGTGCAATTTTCACATAAAGCTATCATATTTACGGCTATGCCAGTATTAGGTGCGTCCAGCCCACTCGTACAGTCCACGTTCAGTGCTGTGCAGATACGAGGGATCTAGGCGATCGAATAACACCTCGCCAGATTGCGAAATCTGCTCACGTTTGCCAAAGGTATCACATGATTGTAAATTGTCCGTTCTTATCGTGACCCACTTTACCGTATGACAGGACGGAGAACTCGGTAGTGTATCGTGTTCAGGTGTAAGGGTTCTATAGGTGTCACCTCAGTTCGCTCTGGTCCAGCAGCGGTGAATTTCTCCACAGTCGACACAAACTGACTTTCAAGATGACAACCACTCTGCGATACGGCTTGCTTTTAGTGGAAGTCATCTTTCTAGCTGGGATTCAGGTAACACGGTTACTGTTTTGCTTGTTTTGTAGGTCTCACTGAATTCGTTCAGATATCGTTAGAGCATTTATTACCTCGAGCGCGTTAGTATTTCAAGGGAGACAAATCTACTCGACTGACTATATGTAAGTTAAGTACACATAAAATGAACTGATGTGCATGGAAGGTATTCTGTATAGATACAGACCTGAATCATTTCAAAATAAAGGGACCCGTAAAGATCTGGGTTAGAACTGATCTTCAGCAACCCATGCTTGTCGTAAGAGGCGACTAACGGGATCGGGTGGTCAGGCTCGTTGACTTGGTTGACACATGTCATCGGTTCCCAATTGCGCAGATGCTGTTGATCACTGGATTGTATGGTCCAGACTTGATAATTTACAGAATGCCGCCATACAGCTGGAATATTACTGGGTGTGGCGTAAATCTGAACTCACTCACTCCAAATAAAAGCATCAACATTCTTTCCACGTCCAAAGGAAATCCGGCCTGAATATACATGGCCACAAACCCGCAACATGAGCAATGTATTTATCAGGTTGATGCCACACATGCTACATACACACTATTAACTACACTATACGGTAACTGTATACACTGCATGGTAACTTATATACACTACATGGTAACTATATACTCTACACGGTAATCACATACAATACATGGTAACAGTATACACCCTATGGACAAGGTATAAACTTCACGGATTCTGTAAACATTCAACACATAAACACTCTATACATTCATGGACACTGGAGACACTATACGATCACTACCGGAGGAATATAATACACAGTATAGACATACTATGTATGCTACACATATATACTATACACACCTTGAGGTATGTATACGCTGCGCTAAATAGAGTACGTAACATATTCACATCAGTAGGTCACTGTTGTCAGCGCAGGGAGATATATTTCTCTTCACGGACACTAAAATAGCTAAACGAATACTATGTGCACTACTAGATCACGTTATACACCACCGGAGAAACATATAGATTCCATGGACACTGACATTAACACTAACACTGACACCGTATACCTATACATCATACACACGACTACTACACACATTACATGCTATAAATTATTATAGGCCATGAGGCCGATATTACGAAATACACTTCTCTCTGTCTGTCTGTCTATAAATTAATACTATATGCTATAAACTGACGCTATAAGCACTAAACGTACACTACATACTATACATACTAAAAGGACACTATACACACCACATGAAAAGTATACACTCAACAAGGACACTATATATACTACATGATAAGTGTACACTCAACAAGGACACTATACATACTACACGAGAAGTGTACACTCAACAAGGACTCCATATACACTACATGAGAAGTATACATTCAACAAGGACACTATATATACCACATGAGAAGTATACACTCAACAAGGACACTATATACACTACATGAGAAGTGTACACTCAACAAGGACACTATATACACTACATGAGAAGTATACACTCAACAAGGTATACACTCAACAAGGACACTATATACCTACATGAGAATTGTACACTCAACAAGGACGCTATATATACTACATGAGAAGTGTACATTAACAAGGACACTATACAACGACACATGAGAAGTGTGCACTCAACAAGGACACTATATACCACATGAGAAGTATACACTCAACAAGGACACTATATATACTACATGATAAGTGTACACTAAACAAGGACACTATATACAC